TTTGTGTTGTGGTCAATGTCTTGATGGAAAAGACATCTTTTTGTTAGATCTTTCCTATATTTTGTTTTAATGGCTTTGGCCATCTAAGCTCCAAGTCCGTTTCTATATGCATCAAAATCTTTTTTTAAAAGGTATTTAGTGCTATGCAGTTCCTCTATCTGCTTGGGCTCCTAACCCTAAGGTACTCTAGTCATCTCCTTTTTTGGAGGGATCGTAGATTTTTTTTTTTCAATTGAGGAAAGAGATGGGCCTCTCTCATCTTAATTTTTCATTGCACCTTCAACATTAATATATTAATGTCTTTAGCAATTCTAGAGAAAGCGTAAGCTTTAAGCAATATTCTCTATCATGAGTCCATTAGTCAAGATGACAAATATAGTAGTCTACTTTAAATCTTTTACTTGAAAGGCTTCTATGTTAAAATGCATTACGTAGTCTTTCAAAGACTCATGTTTGCCTAGATAAATTGACATTAAGCTTACCGTAGTCTTCTTCATTCTTCTACTACTCACAAATCCGGAGAGGAAAGCGTAACTGAGCTCTTTGAAAATTGTGATAGACTTCATTTACAATATCAAGACCTAGCTATCCCCTTGAGTGTGGTAGCTAGTCCTTAACACATAAAAGCTTCATTTACCCTTTGCTTTATCATGTTAGTTCAGTAAAGCTCTAAATGATTAAAAGGATTAATAGTACCATCATAAGTCTCTAAGCTTGACATTTTGAACTCTTTTAGGGGCATGCTTTTATCAATCTTCTCAATAAAGGGCAAGGTTTCCAAGAAATTAAGCCCATCCTCAAATGCAATGGCCTTTCCTTTCAAATCTTTTTCCATAGCGTGCATTCTAGCTTCCAAGTCTCTATTTGACTGGGGCTCTAGGTCAATTTGTTTAGATTTTTGGGTGATGGCTTGTGTTTAGGCATGAGTATGGTAATGGCTAGCTAGAGTAGTGGTTTCCTTTTCATGTGAGGCTAACGAGGCTTTAATGTTGTTGTTGCTTGACTACCTTTCAAGCAGTAGTTTTCCAAGGGTGACTTGATCAGGTACTTAGAAGTTTGTAGAGGTGTGAGGTTTCGAATCATCTCTTTGAGCGGCTATAATTGTTGTTTTAAAGCTTGGAATTACTCCATTGTAGAGCCTGCCAGTGTAGGCATAGGTCAGTCTACAAGTTGACTGATTTAGGCTTCAATTCCAGCTTGGACAGCTGGTTCCCTTTCTTCAGAAACTCTCTTTCTGGGTGGCATGGTATTTTAGCTTGGCTAGTGATAAAATACGCCCTACCTGGTGTGCCAAATGTTAGTATCGAGTTTCGAATTGAGGGGTAAAACCTTAAAACAATAAGAAAGGGAAAAAAAGAGGTTAAAGGCAAAGACTAGAAGTTTTTCCATCATTTGCGCTCTGACACCCAAGTTAGAGGTCGGTCAAGAAAGAAAATAGGAAGGAGAATATATGGAAGTAGAAGAATTTGATATGTCTAAATAATACTTGAATTGCCTTATTTATAGTTAAAGGTGTGGAGTTTTGGGGGTCAATCTTATGGTTAGAATGACCTAGCAAACCAAGCTTATCTAAACGCTAACCATCCACTCAAGGAGTGACAAGGTAATATAAAGAGGAGTCTTTTAGATAGATTGATAATCTGGCCAAGTTAACGTGACACTGTATATGTCAGTCAGTCTGACATATTAAGTTAGATCAAAAATCATAAATACCACTAATTGTTTGGTGTTAGCCTTTGATAGAAAAGAAAAAGACCATTATACCCTTGAAACCTAAAAATGTCCCTAAAGACAATAATGGATCCACACTTATAGAATGAGAACATCAATTCCAAATTTCTCTTATAAAGCAAACCTTTTCTTTTTGTTCTTTTTTTCTTCATAATAATAGCCTAATCTCAAAGTATCATTCACATACTAGATTCCCGATTTAATTGATTTGGAGGGGAAAAGTAGATAAACTATTTAAGAAGTGAGAACAAAAATGCAGCACTTTACCTCAGTTGTTTATTGATTGAGAAAGAAGATTATTGGCAATGGGATGAGATCCCATCAACAAAAAAATGATTGAGGTTAAATTGTTGAGGTGAAAAATGTATAGTTTAAATATTGTAACGAAAAATAACAAGAATAACAGTTACTGTGATAGATGTGTTAGCAAGAATAATTATTTAGGAAAAAAAAAAGCATGCTAAAAAGATGAGATTATATTCGTAAGTAGAATACTGTAATCATAATCCGGCAATCTTCAATATATGCAGCATAACAATTACATTTAGTATAAAAAATCAATGAATAAATTACATAAACTAACGTATCAATATATTGGAATTAAACCAAGTTTTATATTTTTAATGTGGTTATGTACTTCATTTATTATAGTTAATATTTTGTTGGTGGGTGCCTTAGGACTTTTACCTTTTTACTATAAATATATATATATATATATTTTTTTAGATTTAAATAAGAGATTGTGAGGCATAGAGAAGTTAAATGTGGTTTTGTGTAAGATTTTGAGTGTGTCCCAAAGAATGCAGGTAGAATTCGATTAGGGTAAATTAAAAATTGTATCTGTGCGGTAACCTACATTAAATTGTAAGTATAGTTTTTCAGTTGAAAGTTAGATTAATTAAATTCTTCTTGTGTATTTTTTTTTTTCGTATTTATAATAATATTCTTACTACTGTTGTGGGAATAGAAAAAATGTTCTTAATTTTGTGTTAAATTAAAAAAAATTAAATCAAAATCCATGTACTTATAACTTAAAATCTAAAGATTCTGAAATTTCTTAGACTAAGAGATTTACCGATGTAAAATGTTAAAAGGGTTAAATATTTATTTAATCCCTATGTTATATGCTTTTTGTTATTTTAATATTTGAAATTTATGATTAGGTATTTAAACTTAGAATCCATCAAGCACTTTAGTATCTAGGATTATTATCGTCAGTCAAATAGTTAAAAGTCAAATAATGTGGTATGAATATCTAAAAAATCTTGACATGAGTTATAAATGTTTGATCATTGTCACGTAATTTATTAACATATTAATAAGAAAAAATAAAAATAAATAAATAATTCTTTCTAAATTTTTTCAAAATATAAAAAAAATTAAAAAGATGGAAAATGTTTTTAAAAATTAAAAAATTAAATATTTCTAAAAATTATAAATAATGTATTTTAAAAAATAAAATTTGACTTTTTAAAATATGAAAACATCTTTTTTTAAAAGAATAAAGTGGAAAAAATTAAATTTTAATATTTTCTAAAATCTAGAAAAATTCTAAAGAATTCGATTTTATTTTTTAATAAACATTCTATTGTATTTTTTAATTTTTAATAAAAATTTTAAGAATTTATTTTTTTATTTAAAAGATTCCAATTTTAAGATTCTTTTAGTATTTTTAAAAATTTTAACTTTTTTCAATTTTTTTATAATTTGATTTTTTGTGTTTTCCTTTTTTTATTTTTTTTGAATTTGCTATGAAAAATTCAGATTTTTTATTGCTTGGATTTTTTAATTTATCAAATTTTTTATTTTTTAATTATATAGTTTTTAAGATTTTTGTTTTTACATTTTCAGATTTTCTTTTTTAGATTTTTTAAAATTTTTTTAATTTTTATAAAATTTTCTTTTAATATTATCATGACAATCGACCAACCAATAATGTGATATTTTGTTTTCAAGTGTCTTTATTTTATTAAATATTCATATCATATCAACGACTTGACTTATCATATTAGTTTGAAGTATCAAATTATAACACAGAATTAAAATTTAGATATTATTATGAATTTTATTTTTTTAAGTATCAAATTGATGAAAGAAAATTTAGTACAAAAGCTAAATAAATATGTAACCCATAAAGATAACCTTTGAATAGATTATATGAATTATAAATATTAAAAGAAAATGCTAAAATTATAATGAGGGTTTGTATATGTAATATTAAAAATAAGGAACATATTCAATTGCAATAACTAAAATCGTTATCTTTACCCATTATTTAACAATTGCATTTGCGATAAAATATGAGATTGCCGATCAAATGCAGCTTCCAAAGCAATCCCTAATTACCGTATTATCAAAGAGCAATATGCAATGCCTATTGTGCATGTGATTGGTCCGGAATGCGTGATTGAATTCATGAAAGGAGGAGCAGCCAGATCTCAGTTGATTTTGAAAGGAATTATCTTCAGGATTACCCAGCAAGCAGAGCAGAAGGTTGAGTGTTCTGTCATTAAACACTCTGAGAGTTGACAGGCGCCACCATCATCCGGTTTCATCAAGATTAATTTTGATTTAATCTTAATAAAAGATTAGTTTACTTTCAATGAGTACTTGAGCTATTAAAAAGTTAAAATTAGGTACAATTCAACACATTGACTTTTTATTTCGAAATTTAATTTAAGTCCAACTCTTTGAGGAACTAAATACATGCATTTATTAAGTCAATTACTCAAATGCAAGTGCAGCTGTAGCATGTAACTAGGCAGTTTGGCACCAACATTTCCATCAAAATTATATATTCATAATCAGCTTTGGATCACAATTATGTAAAGCACATGATGACACTTATTGAGATGAAGAGTTAATTAATTCATCTCCAGCATCCTTACCATAAATTGTTTATGAATATGAGGAGGCCGCTACCCTTCTTAGTTTCTAATTAATAGAAGATGTTAAACAAGTTAGATTGTATAATTGAGAATCCAAAGCCAATTTAGCAAATTCAAAACTATATATAGTAGCCCTCACTGGCAAAGTGACACCAAGCTGAATCTCTGCAAGATAGCCCATAAATAAAATTAGATTGATTCTTTCACCCCTTTGACCCTTTGATTGCAAAGATAAGCATAGAACATATAACTTTATTCGGTTGGTTTATGCACTCACGTTTAAAATATGACATCTAATAAATTTACAGATCAAATTTCAACATCTATAACTTTTTTTCTAATCATCTAATTGTGACCTCTTTTGTATAAAAAAACCAAAAAAAAAAAAAGTATATAATGTCTAATGGTTAAATATGAAAAATTAAAAAAGAAAGGGACTTTTCATGAGCATTCATTCCACTATAAAATGCTGAATTACAAACATCAACTTGGAGAATATTTTTCCTAACCAATATAGAAGGTTTGGCTATATATTTTCGTAAATGCTCATAAGCTATTTACATATTTCACATGATCTCACCCCCATAATAAAGATATGACCATGTACAAAATAATACAACATTCTCATGAACGGAAAAATTTTACCAACCATATATCATCACTTTCCAATTGCAAATAAATTCATGTTGAAATTTGATCCAACAGCTCAACAACTTCGCTCATGGCTGGCCTTTCTTTGGATAGCTCATCAGTACACATACATGCAATTCCAAAATACTGCTTAACCTCGTCTTTAGTCAACCCTTCCTTCGGAATCTTTTGATATACCATTTCCATTTGTCGATTTTGGGCCACCATTTGTCTAGCCCATTCCACTAGTCCTACGTCTTTCCCCTCGAACCTCATGGGCCAATTCGGCCGGTTTTGCGTGGCAATCTCAATCATCAATATTCCGAAACTATAAACATCCGCCATAAACGTTGCCGCTGTGTTCCCTTCCCGGTACTCCGGTGGCATGTAACCCATTGTCCCCGCTACTTGCGTGGACACGTGTGAATGGGCCTCTTGCACTTGCCGAGCAAGCCCGAAATCAGCAATATGGGGCTCGAAATCTTTATCCAACAAAACATTGCTGGCCTTAATATCTCTATGGATAATGGGCGTATCAAGCCCATGTAAATAAGCCAGCCCATTAGCTATCCCACTAACAATCTTCTTCCTCGTATCCCAAGATAACGGTAACCGGCCACCCGAGTTTTCGTGGTCCTCGTCATACAACCATTGGTCCAAACTCCCTCTCTCAATGAACTCATAAATCAAAACCCGATCAAGACCCGACGAGCAAAACCCCAGAATCTTAACGATGTTTTCGTGACGAAGCTTACCTAGGGTTTCCATCTCAGCTCGAAACTCTCGGAGGCCCTGAAAAGCATTCGGGTCGAGCTTTTTAATAGCGACGGTGACTCGGTTGGACATAGTAGCTTTGTAAACATAGCCGAAACTGCCGTCGCCGATGATGAGGTCGGATGAGAAGTTCTTGGTAGCGGCGGCGAGTTCCGCCATGTCGAGACGGTTGAGAGATGGATCGAAGGCGGCGCTGTCGCATGTGGAGAAGTCGGGTGGGTTAGGGGCAGGTCGGGTTCGGGTTACGGATAGGGTTTGAGGAGGGTTTGGACGGGTGGGTTTTTTGGTTGATTTGCAGAGTAAGATAATGAAAGATAAGATTAAGGATACTAAAAAGAAGCTTAAAATTGCTGCAACGACTGCTTGAATACTTCCGTCCATTGAAGAAAAAAACCCCAAAAAAAAATTTAAATTAAATGAGAAAAAGAAGAATAGAGGAGGGAGGAGCAGCCATGAGAGAGAGAGAAGGAAGCAAGTGGGAAAGGGGGAGGCTTTGTTTTTCAATGATGGGAGGGGGAGGGGGAAAGATCAATGGTAGCGAAGTCGTGCAAAGGACGAGTCAAAGGAAGAGAGAGAATGCTACACTGCGGGTGATCTTAGAAGAAGAAAATGGGTACCAAAAAAATGGCAAGACTTGAAAATCTGCGTAACCCAATTCTTCACTTTGATCATTGATATTATAAACATTTTATTAAATTAACTTTTTTATAAAATTACACTTGAGAACTTCTTCAATAAAAATTTGTAGAAAATATTTTTATTTTAATTACTAATACATTTAAAATAAAACAAAGTCGAAATTAAAAAAAAAAAATTGACAACAAAAAATCAAAGTAGGACAGAATTTATGGACAGAGAAAATAATTGTTACCAACAGAAATTTTACCCTGGGAAATCATTTTTGGATTTATTGAATTGTCTATTGCAAAAGTATGAATTCATATTTACTATGTTTTAAGAAAAAAAAATTCAAGTTTATGGACTATGTTATATATAATATGTACAATTTTTAATATTTACAAAGATAGTTAATATTTGAATAAACTTTAAAATGATAATTTTTATTTTATTTTAATTTTGCACCAATGTAACGAAGTTTGAGGGTAATGATCCTTTTTGTTACTAATAACAAAAAGAATAATTTGAGATGTTCATTATTTTTTTGTCATGTAGCTTATCCTGTCAATTTTGTTCTAAATTTTTATATTGACGAAAAATTATTGGATAAATTCAAATATATTATCTAATATTTATAAGTAAGTCAATTAATTTATAAATAAAATATTACAATCAAATCAATAATTATATAGCATGTAAGGAAGTACAAAGTTTTAGAACAAGAGTGGTGGGACGAAACTTTAATATACATTAAAATTTATTTATAATTAAAATTTTAATGAATTTAAATTCAAAGAAAAATGAAAATTAATTTAAAAAAAACAATAATATGAACAAATTTTGATCCTAAATTTGTTTGGAAGTATATAGGTCAAACTATGATGAAAGTAGTTAATTTTTTCATTACCTTTTATTTGATTTTTTCATTACCTTTTATTTGTAGTTAACATTTTCTGTCGAGGAGAGAATCTATTAGATAAAGTTCAACAATCCTTTTGTTGTTTAATAATAATAATAATAATAATAATTTATGAAGAATTTATTAATTATTAACATTTAACAAAAATTTCTTCTAAGATCTCAAGCATTTTGACTTTTGAGCAATAAATATAACAAAAACTTCTTCGGGTATTATCTATTACTTCCACCATTTCAAATTGTTTAAATATTATTAACTTCTATAGAAGTTGAGAAAAAATTTTTAAATATAATGCATTTAATATTAAATTTTAAATTTTTTATAAAATTAAATTTTATGATTTTTAATATCAAAAAATAAAAAATCATAAAAAATATTTTCAAATATAAAAAATACAAATTTTAAATATTAAAAAAATATAATTTTAAAACATCCAAAAAATTTTGAGATAAAGGGGAGTAAGTTTTTAAATTGAATGTTTATGTAAAACTTAATAATATAAAAAGAATAGGAGGAATTTCGAAGAAGGTTGATGCATAATAATAAAATAATAATTGAATAATAATGATTATCAAAATATAATTGAATAATAATAATAAAGTCCAATTAATTTCTAAAAAAGTTATTGTCACCTATGAAAGTCTTTATATTTGCAAATCCGATGGTCGAAGTCAATTTTGATTACATAGATAGGTCACAAAAAACAAAAAAGCAGGTGAATTACGTATAAGAAGAAGGGGATGAGAGAAAGAGAGAATACAAATTAAACAAAAGTAGGGTAAGAGATAGATATCCAGATTGATATTTTTTACAAGTCATAGTATATAATTTACAAACTAATCATTTTGTCCTATATATTTATGAGTTTAGTAAATATTTTACAATATTTATAAAGTTAGGTAAAAATGTATTACAGAAAATATATATTTTTTATCCTTATATGATTTTAGTTGATTATTTGGTCGGATGACAGGCTAACTGTTTGGTAGTTTAGCTGATTTATTAGCAGCAAATGTTGACTTTTTATTTTTTTATCTATCTCGAATATTCGTTCGATTTATAAATTCTTCATTTTTTGGATTAAAAGAAGCTAATAAAGCTATCTTTAATTTGTTCCATTATTTTTATCCTTTTGTATATTAGAGTAGTAAAGGAAGTGGGTAATTAAGGTCTTTCATTCTAGAAGGGTTTTCTAAAAGTTCGACTGCTTGAGGCTTTGGTTCTGAATTATTTTCGTCATAAAATTTTTCACAAAAATCCTTTTACCATTTGTTGTAGTCATAATATATGGAACTAATAATTCTTTTGCTTTTTTAATCATGGTCAGTCTAGCTGGGAAATCATATAAACTTACTCTACCAAATTGTGAAAGAGCAAGTTTTCAATTTTATTCATTTCCATTTGGTGCTAATAAATTTGGTTTATAAAGAATTTTTTTTACCTCCCAGATTTGATAGAGCTGAAAAAAATTTTTCTTTTCAAAAAGTCCCATTAAACTAGTTATTTTAATATATACATAAGAAAAATATTCATCATTTTTGACAAAATAAAAAAAATTTTGATTTGATAAAGCTAGAAAAATGCCTTATCAAATGAAAAGATAAATTTTGAAAAGTAATTATACCTACAAAACCCAATTTGGTACTGATTATATTATAAGGATCATGATCTAATCGGAATTTAATTTTAAGAAATCCCCTTGAAATTCCATGATTTTTTAGATAAATAAAAAGAAAATATTTCTGAAATTTTTTATGAAGTAGATAATCCACTTTATCTTTTATTGAATATTTAATTCTATTAAAAAGTTCATTGGATAAGACTTTGTTAGTCTTTTTATATAAATGAAAATTTCAAATTTTTAAAAGAGAAGAAGAAATTGTTTGTTCTTCCATAAGAAAATCACAAATATTTAAGAGATTGTTTATCTCCTTAAAGCAGTATTCTTTTTCATTAAGTTAAAAAATTTATGGTTCCTTACAGTCTCTTAAAGTTAAGCTTTTTAAAATAAAATTTTGAAAAATTTGAAATCTATTAACTTGTTTAGTTAATCCTTTCGCAAGCTTAGTCATATTTTTTCTAAAAGCTTATCTACTACCTTGAAGTTGGGCTTTCCAAACTTCATTTATGAGATTATATAACTTAGAGAGTAATCCTAGATTATAAAAATCTTTAATTTCTAGAAAATTTTTATTGTGGTTTCAACAAATTTTTTATTTTCTGAACAATTTCAGAGTGTGACATTAGAGTCCATTGATTTGGATCATGAAAAAATTGAGATAACCTATAAGGTTCCATTACTTATTGTGATGGAATTTTTAGTATTTCCATGTATGGTTGTGCATAACAGAAATATCCTAGATTAGGATATGGAACTAATGATTGTGTAAGGGACTGAAATCTTAATCCTTGGTTAGGATTAACATGGTTAAAAGAAGAACCTTGTTTGGGTTGCTTCTTTTTAATAGTATTCCATTCACCAATTTATTCTAGAGGTTTTTTACCTCGACCCATTATGCTTGCTTAAAAAATCAACAAGAACATTGTTAGTTCCTTTAATAAATTCAATAGAAAATTTATATTGATATCAAAAGTTATACCTTCTAATCCTTTTAGTATTAGTTTCTAACTTTTTATTTTTAAAAATTTTTAACTGCTTGATTATTAGTTCTAATAATAAAGTTTTCAAGTACTAAATAAATATGAAATCTAGTTACAACATTTTTTTATGACAAATAACTCTTTTTCAAATATAATATATTTTAATTTATTTGGTTTAAACTTCCCTAAATTATAATCACAAATTAATTTTTGATTATTTACCTTAGATCTAAATACACATCCCAATGTCGGTTTGATACAATTGTTTCAAGAATAAATAATTATCCTAGTTTAGGAAAATATACTTTAAGTATAAATTTAAGATTTTATTTTATTTGTTCAATAATGTCATAATCATCTTTAATCCAAGAAAAAGGTATATCGTTCTTTAGTTTTTCTTGTAAAACTTTTTCTTCTTTAGAGAGATTTTTAATGGACTGTCTTCCAAAATTAATAAGATCTAGAAAACTTTGAAATTGTTTTTTATCTTTCAGTTGTTTTGGAAATTCTTTGACTTTTACTATAATGTGATCTTGTAAAGTAAGAACTTTTAAAGATAAATTTAAGCCTAAGAACTCTATATTAGTTTTTTCAAGTGCTATCTTTTTAGGGCTTAATAATATACTATGTTTTATAAATTTTTGAGCTATGAGATTTAGGTGTTTCCTATGCTTATTTAATCTTTTAGAAAATATAAGTATATCATCAATAAATGCTACAAAAAATCTTTATATTTTCCAAAGATTGTATCCATCCATCTTTGAAAAATCTGTGGAGCATTGCAAAGTCCAAAGGGCATGACTTTCCATTAATAATGGCCTTTTGGTGTAATGAAAGCAGTCAAGGTTTTGATTTTTCGATTAGCATTATTTGTCAAAATCCTTATTTATAATCAAATTTACTAAAATATTTAGCATTTTTTACAAAGTTTATTAATACATCTTTTCTAGGAATAAAATAACCATCAAATACTAAGTTTTTGTTAAGCCGTTTATAGTTGATTGCCATTTGAGCTTTACCTCCTTTTTACTTAACTTAATTTTTTATCATAAATGCTGGGCCTGAATGTTGACTAGTAGTGGGTTCTATAAGTCCTTTTTGTAAAAGCTTATTGATTTGTATATCAAATTTGTCTATATCTTGTTTGGTATAGATCAATGGTTTTACTCTAATTATTTTATTTGAATCAAGAATTTTTAACTAAAAATCGAAGACTTCTAAACCATAATTTTAATGGTTCTTCACTAAAGTTTTCTTTTAAGATTTTATATAACAAATGTATTTTATTGATTGATTTAACTTCAATTTGCTTAGTTTCAGGTCGAAAACTAGAATCACCTATATGTTTATGAGTTTTTAATAATACTATTTCTATAGATTTTTTTTATCTATAGTAAATACAATATTGTTGGGATTTAAACAAAAAGATAAATAATTGTATATAAAATTATTTCCTAGTAATATGTCGCCATACATAAAAGGAAAACATAAAATTTTGAAAT